TACCAGTATGTACAGGTAACCAATAACACTATACCAGTATGTACAGGTAACCAATAACAGTATACCTAGGTGTACAGGTAACCAATAACATTATACCAGTATGTACAGGTAACTAATAACAATATACCAGTATGTACAGGTAACCAATGACAGTATACCAGTATGTACAGGTTACCAATAACAGTCTACCAGTATGTACAGGTAACCAATAACACTATACCAGTATGTACAGGTAACCAATAACAGTATACCTAGGTGTACAGGTAACCAATAACATTATACCAGTATGTACAGGTAACTAATAACAATATACCAGTATGTACAGGTAACCAATGACAGTATACCAGTATGTACAGGTTACCAATAACAGTCTACCAGTATGTACAGGTAACCAATAACACTATACCAGTATGTACAGGTAACCAATAACAGTATACCTAGGTGTACAGGTAACCAATAACATTATACCAGTATGTACAGGTAACTAATAACAATATACCAGTATGTACAGGTAACCAATGACAGTATACCAGTATGTACAGGTAACCTTTATGTACTCTATTCTGCTACATATTTTTTGAAATACTCTCCTACTACTTCTCAACCGAGATAGTCTCCTTTGACTACTTGACCGTAACACTCATTCTGTCACAACACGGTTGTTATACCCCTTCTGTATTTCTGTTTCAGACTCGACTTTAATGGGTTTTACACAGAAAAGTTAGAGGCCATGTCAGCAGAGAAGGCTATGCTGGAGTCATCTACCCACAGTTCTGAGTCAAGTAAGGCCACCGTGTCTCGGTGAAACATCCCAGGTATACCACTGTCTGCTAGATCGTGTTGCCTGGCTCGTCCTAGATAGCATCGTGTCCATTAGCTGATCTCCTCAGCTAACATATGTGCTATACCGTACATCTGAGATGGCATGCAGTGTTTTTGTAATCATATGTTGTTTAGCACTTATGTATGAATATTATAATCATTTGTAGTTCTCTTAATTCAAAGAGAATTTTGCAACCACATTAACTTTGTACAGACAACATTGGCCATTAGCAGTGTCATTGTGTGTCTATTATTGTCCTTGTGTGTCCTGGATGTCCTTGTATGTCCTGGACCTCTTTGTGTATCATGGATGTCATTGTGTGGTGTCCATTGTTGTCCTTGTGTGTTCTGGATGTCCTTGTCTGGTGTCCATTGTTGTCCTTGTGTGCCCTGGATGTCCTTGTGTGTCCTGGACCTCATTGTGTGTCCTGGACCTCCTTGTGTGTACTGGATGTCCTTGTGTGTCCTGAATGTCCTTGTGTGTCCCTGATGTCCTTGTGTGTCCTGGATGTCCTTGTTTGGTGTCCATTGTTGTCCTTGTGTGTCCCTGATGTCCTTGTGTGGTGTCCATTGTTGTCCTTGTGTGTCCCTGATGACCCTGTCAGTGTTATGTCTGTGAATTAATTAGAACATAATACCTGCTTTTAGTTTAGCTGAAAATAGATTTAGCTGGGTGATGATTCAAAACATATATAATTTCAGTTTTTTCCTCTCTGGACTGATTTTCTCTCTCTGAATTTCATGTGGGATATGTTCATAGCTCTAAAGTTGTGTAAATGGAATATTGATGTATTAAAGATAATGGGCCACATGTTCTTTTCAAAGGTTGGGGTTGTTTGTCTGGTCTATTACTATCTAATGCAACAATGGCATTAATTGTACAACAGCTGTCTCTGGGAAATGTGTACCATTTTGATTAATAGATGTGATTAGAGTGTACTTATACATTATACCAAAAATACTTTGTTTAATCAACTTTTGACTTGCAGGTTCAGGATCCTGGCCAACCTCATTCACATCCCAACGACCTGACTCTGCCCGCTATGTCCCTGGGATGCACCGTCCAAACGTGGTCAATGGTTCCTCTTGACCAGTCATGTCAGCTGAAGTCAGGATTGGCCATCTCCAGTATCAAAGCTTCCCCTCAGCAACACAAAAAATTGTCAACACATTTACCCTTGTTTGATTGGTAGATTCACATGACTTCCAGGTGTTTGTGTTGGTGTGTGGGGCGTCCAGGTGTGTTGTTAACCTCTGTGTAACCAAGTGACTCTTCAAGTCGGGCACATAGTGCTGGAACATGCGAATACTTATATTAATGGAGGAGAAAGCAACATTGTGATCCTAGTAGTAGGGCAGAAGTTGTAGCATTGTTACTTTAACTAGTTACAATGTTACAAAGACAAGTTACAATATGTGTGGCTTCATTCATAGTGCAAGAACCAGGGATACATATGTGTATATATCTACTGGATACAAACTTGTGACGCTTGTGTTGAAATTATCCAGAAAAAGAAGTATCATGACATCCAAGTTTTTCATTGAATGTGTTATTACCACTTAACATTTTCAATAGTATGATAATAAAGTATTAAAGCTGGTTCTGTGTTTTCAATGTTTAAGATAAAAATCTCATCATTGTATGTTGTGGATAGTGTTGACTCGTTAATTTGATAGATCTTTTATGTCTTAAATTTGTTTTCTATAATATCTGTTCATTGGAAATAAGTATTAGGACAGATCAGCCTCAGTGATCTACACCATAGTGACGTGTGCCAATCTTGCTATGTCACTGGAAGCTGCAGATCCCATCTGAAGATTTCTGAAGTACTATTGTGTTAGTACTGGTTCTTCTGGTTCTGGTTCTTCTAAGATGATCTTGTCCGGGCCGTAACTTTCAAACCATTCAAGATATCTTGATGAAACTTGAAGTATACCTGCATCACCTATAGATGATGTGCAGTGCACTGTCATTAGGTCATTGTAACCTTGACCCTATGGTTAAAGGTCAAAAATGTGCATTTTTTTTCGGAACATCTTGTCCAGGCTGTAACTTTTAATCTGTTAAAGATATGCTGATGAATAACTGCAGTATAACTGCATCACCTACAGATGATGTGCAATGCAGTGTCATTAGGTCACTGACCATTATTTCAAGGTTAAAGGTAAAAAAAGTCTGATTGATACAAACATTTAAAGGTGTAAGCCAAGGTGATGCCAACAGTCCCTCACTGTATCTAATTTTGCTTAACTTAGTTTGCAAGTATATGACGGCATTGTAAACTCTATCCAAACATCATCTTGACTTTGAGGACATCTGTAATGGTCCTAATTACAATTAGAACTTGTTCATATAAACATATTATAATTTAGCAGTAAGCAGTTCCTCTAATAATAAGGTCAAATAAGTGCTATGTTAAAGATATCCTGATAAAACTTGCAGTACATCTGCATCACCCACAGATGATGTACAGTGCACTGTCATAAGGTCACTTGAGGCCAAAGGTCAAATACCTGGTAAGTGCAAAGTTGTCCAGGCTGTAACTTTTCAACAGTTTAAGGGGAGATATACATTTCTGTTCACCAAAACAAATCACTATCCTTGATATTTATTTCTTGTTACCCATTTATTCTAAGGTTTTTCACCATTTCACAATGGGAATGGTACCAATGTTTTATGTAATTTTCTACAGCACAATGTTGAAATTCTGTCAAATATGTTTACTTATTAGCTCACCTGGCCGTCAATATTTTACTTCTTCTTAATAACCGCAAGGCCTAGGGTGATGATATTTGGCCAGAAGCAAACTGGGATGAAGGGCTACCAAGTTTGTTAAAATAAATGACCTTCACTTATATTCAAGGTCACAGGGGTCAAATATGTTAAAAACTTGGAGCTTATGCCATGGTGCGGCGTCCGTCCGGCGTCAATATTTTACTTCTTCTGAATAACTGAAATGCCCAGTAGCATGCTGGGATGAATGACTTAAATTTGACTCATATTCAAGGTCACAGGGGTCAATTGTCTTTTTTAAAAACTTCTGAATAACCAAAAGGACCAATATGGTGATATTTGGCCAGAAGCATGCTGGGATGAAGGGCACAGGGTGAAATGGTTTTTAAATCTTGTAACAGGTTCTTTTGGATGACTTATAGTCATAAATACTGATATTTTGCCTGTAGCTTTATTTAAGATCACTTTTAAGGTAACAAGTGTGAGATTTAGACCAGGTGAGCAATGCAGGCCCATTGGGCCTCTTGTTATATAATATGTTGACATAATGTCTGAGGTGCTGACATAGTGATTGAGGTGTTGACATAATGTCTTAAGTGCTGACAATGTCTGAGGTGCTGACATAGTGATTTAGGTGTTGACATAATGTCTGAGGTGCTGACCTAGTGATTGAGGTATTGACATAATGTCTGAGATGCTGACCTAGTGATTGAGGTGTTGACATAATGTCTGAGGTGCTGACCTAGTGATTGAGGTATTGACATAATGTCTGAGATGCTGACCTAGTGATTGAGGTGTTGACATAATGTCTGAGGTGCTGACATAGTGATTGAGGTATTGACATAATGTCTGAGATGCTGACCTAGTGATTGAGGTGTTGACATAATGTCCGAGGTGCTGACATAGTGATTGAGGTGTTGACATAATGTCTGAGGTGCTGACATGGTGATTGAGGTGTTGACATAATGTCTGAGGTGCTGTCATAGTGATTGAGGTGTTGACATAATGTCTGAGATGCTGACATGGTGATTTAGGTGTTGACATATTGTCCAAGATGCTGACCTAGTGATTGAGGTATTGACATAATGTGTGAGGTGCTGACATAGTGATTGAGGTGTTGACATAATGTCTTGAGGTGCTGACCTAGTGATTGAGGTGTTGACATTATGTCTGAGATGCTGACATGGTGATTTAGGTGTTGACATATTGTCCAAGATGCTGACCTAGTGATTGAGGTATTGACATAATGGGTGAGGTGCTGACATAGTGATTGAGGTGTTGACATAATGTCTTGAGGTGCTGACCTAGTGATTGAGGTGTTGACATTATGTCTGAGATGCTGACATGGTGATTTAGGTGTTGACATATTGTCCGAGATGCTGACATGGTGATTTAGGTGTTGACATATTGTCCAAGATGCTGACCTAGTGATTGAGGTATTGACATAATGGGTGAGGTGCTGACATAGTGATTGAGGTGTTGACATAATGTCTTGAGGTGCTGACCTAGTGATTGAGGTGTTGACATTATGTCTGAGATGCTGACATGGTGATTTAGGTGTTGACATATTGTCCGAGATGCTGACCTAGTGATTGAGGTATTGACATAATGGGTGAGGTGCTGACATAGTGATTGAGGTGTTGACATAATGTCTGAGGTGCTGACCTAGTGATTGAGGTATTGACATAATGTCCGAGATGCTGACATAGTGATTGAGGGATTGACATAATGTCTGAGATGCTGACCTAGTGATTGAGGTATTGACATAATGTGTGAGGTGCTGACATAGTGATTGAGGTGTTGACATACTGTCTTGAGGTGCTGACCTAGTGATTTAGGTGTTGACATATTGTCCGAGATGCTGACATGGTGATTTAGGTGTTGACATATTGTCCGAGATGCTGACCTAGTGATTGAGGTATTGACATAATGTCTGAGGTGCTGACATAGTGATTGAGGTGTTGACATATTGTCCGAGATGCTGACATGGTGATTTAGGTTTTGACATATTGTCCGGGATGCTGACATGGTGACCAAGATGTTACAATGTCTCCGATGCTGACATAGTGTCTAAGATGATGACATAGTGTTTAAGATGATAGTGTAGTGTATAAGATGATGACATAGTGTTTAAGATGATAGCGTAGTGTCTTAAGATGATGGCATAGTGTTTAAGATGATAGCGTAGTGTCTAAGATGATGACATAGTGTATAAGATGATAGCGTAGTGTCTAAGATGCTGGCATAGTGTATAAGATGGTAGCGTAGTGTCTAAGATGCTGACAAAGTGTCTAAGATGCTGATCTTTCTTGACAACAACTAACACCAAACTTTGTAAAGAAAATATTTATTGCTACAAATGGCAGTGTAAAGAAATAAAAAAAAAAGTTACGATTTTAAAACTGTAAATAAATAAGGACAATATACAAAACTCTCTCGACTTCTCAAACACTTGTTACGATAGGCAACATGACATCCAGGCTACACAGAAACAACATTTATGTTTTCTGCAGATATTAACTAAATCAGCACAGTGAAGTCACATTTTATGGTCAATACACAAACTGTAAACACTGTCAATTCATACACCCATTTTAACTCGAGCGCTGTAAAACACTATCAATCTCAGAGTACCTGGTACAATGTATACACACACTTACACTGGAGTATTGTAAAACAGCACAATCCCAAAGTACATTCACGCATAATGAATGATACTCGAGCTTTGTAAAACACCATCAATCACAGTACATACACACATAACGACATGTATATTTGAGCACTGTCAAGCCAAAAGTGCATACACAATGATATTTACACTGGAGTACTGTAAAACACTTGCTCTTAATCAGCATTTTAGATTGAATAACAAGTTACAAACTTGAATCTAAGTTACATGAACACAATCTCTGCAGGCAGTTTATAATACTAAAACACCTGTCTACGATAAACTTAAACCATTAAACATATCTGAATAACAATTTATGGCATTTGAACTGATTCTTTAGGAACACTAAATTATTGACTGAAGATAATACTAAAAGACTTCGGTGGTAATTTGTTTCCTACCCCGCCTCCTGTTTTTGCGTCCTTTCCTCCTGCTCTTGCGCCCTTTCCTCGTGGACTTTGGCTGTTTCCTCCTTCTCAACTTCCCCTTACTTTCTTTAATCTCTGAATGCTGTTGACCACTGGAAGGTTTCACCGTCTCCACAGATTGTGGGTTATCGCTGTGGTCAGAGTTGTGTGCAAATTGACTGTCATTGGATTGGTAAGTTTTAGGCAATTCTGAGAAAACCTGGTCAGTAGATCCCTGAGATTGGTCTGTGGATCCTTGAGATCCCTGAGATTGTTCTGTGGATCCTTGAGATCCCTGAGATTGGTCTGTGGATCCTCGAGATCCCTGAGATTGGTCTGTGGATCCTCGATATCCCTGAGATTGGTCTGTGGATCCTCGAGATCCCTGAGATTGGTCTGTGGATCCTTGAGATCCCTGAGATTGGTCTGTGGATCCTCGATATCCCTGAGATTGGTCTGTGGATCCTCGGGATCCCTGATATTGGTCTGTGGATCCTCGAGATCCCTGAGATTGGTCTGTGGATCCTCGAGATCCCTGAGATTGGTCTGTGGATCTCTGTGGATGTTTAATTGGTCTCCAATTTTGTTCCCTTGACAGAGACCCATCCTCGTTCACTCTACTTGTAACAGATGATGATGTTTCTCCATCTCTGGCCTCTTGGCTCTCATCTGAAACAGACCTCTGACCTGCAGGTGTAGTATTTTCATATTCTTGGTGCTTTTCAATATCTTTATCCTCTATATCCTCTACATCCTCTCGATCAGAATCCTCTTCATCACCATTGGTATTCCTTGTTTCCTCAGAATCATCCATACTTTCTTTATCATCAGCATCATCATCATCATGGTCATCATCATCGTCATTGTTATCATCATCAGTTTCCTCCTCATTTCTCTCCTCTCCGCCTGTCACCAAGGTAACTTCAGTGCTGGTGTCCTTGGTAGCAATGACTTCCCTGACGACGTGTTCTGAATCAGTTGTACCGATTCCTTCATTCACAACCTTTACCCTTGGACTTTGCTCCTTTGACCTTTGTTGTCCAGTCGTGCCTGTCTCTTGGCTATGGTCATGTGTTATACTATCCTTCGTCCTAACTGAAGGCTGAGAACTGGAAAAAAGGGAAAAAACAATACATGTACTTATAAAGTTATGGCAATAGCAAATATAATTGTGACTAGTAAATTTATTAGACTTGTGTGGTTTTAAAAATATTTATTGTAAGAATAAAGTATTTATATTAAGAAAATTAGACACGATTAAAATTTATATGAAAAGTAGTGTAGACAAGACACTAGCAAATGATGATATGATCGATACTGTAAAGAAATAAAAAAGTTTATCTAGCAGCTAACTGTGTTATCTTGGGTAATTTATCTTTATTTATCACATGTATGAGAAATTCACACTAAATTTACAGTAAATCCAGGTAGGTTTCAATCACAACAAGCTCAAGCGTTACCAATGCGTGGGTTTTTATTACGGTCAACTAGTTTCGACTCTATGTGCGAGTCTTCATCAGGTCCAACCAACCTACTCAACATTGACGTTGGCTCTATCTCGCATGTAAATTTACAGTAATGATAGAGGTTGATGTTTTAAACAGGTTTTGATGTTTTAAGCTGATACACTAAATATACAGTAATGATAGAGGTTGATGTTTCAAGCTGATACACACTAAACATACAGTAATGATAGAGGTTGATGTTGAAGCAGGTGTTGATGTGTTTAGTTCATACAGTTATGATAGAGGTTGATGTTGAAGCAGGTTTTGATGTGTTTAGTTCATACAGTTATGATAGAGGTTGATGTTAAAGCAGGTTTTGATGTTTTAAGTTCATACAGTAATGATGGAGGTCGATGTTGAAGCAGGTTTTGTTTTTTTAGGTCACCTGAGACAAAGTCTCAAGTGACCTATTGCGATTGCCTTTTGTCCGTCGTCGTCCGTCATCCGTTGTTCGTCGTCCGTCGTCCGTCGTGCGTCCGTAAACAATTTACATTTTCGACTTCTTCTCCAAAACCCCTGAACCAATTTCAATGAAATTTTGCAGGGACCTTCCATGGACAAAGGTCAACAAA